CACAGACTCACAGAGGGTCAACCCTGAGAAGAACTTACCAGAGCACATCCATTTAAATCACAGCTCTGTGACAGACAGCCCCATGGAAAGGCAATGCAGCCACCCCTGCCCCACCCCCACGGGCACCCGCATAGAGAGCATGTGCTCCACTGGTTTTCTAATAATGGGACACAGTTGGCTACAGGCAGGCGTGGAGTAAAAAAAGATCTGACCTTAAATCCTAGCTCCTTCACTTAAAGTAGTATGGGACTTAGATAACCTGCTTAAATTCCCTGGGGCTCAGTTTTGTTCTTCTATCTACATGCTAGAATCACTATAGAGATGAATGAAGTTCTACATGGAGACTTACAGTTCAGTCCCCAGAACAAGTTCATTGCATACTGTAAGTCCTGTCTCTCCAACTGGCCCCCAAAGATGGCTATCAGTCTGTCCCAACCCAGATCCTTGCTAGGAACCATGACAGCACCTGCTAGATGTCTGGCTAGGTTACCAACATGGTCTGTGGCCATGCATGAAACAAAGCCAACTGACCCATAAAGGGTTCAATCCCATGATCCTGCTCTCAGTATCAAGGCTCCAACCAAATGAGCTAATTACAGTGGACTCAGATTCGACTCTGCTTATACAGAGATAGTTTCACTGTTCCTACAAGCTTTATACTGTGGACCTAAGATGCTATGACACAACACATTCACCAACTTTACTAATGATCTCATCTTCGAAAAACCTTAATGTAACAGAGTGAACAGATGTGTCCCTTAAGAGGATTAAGGTGGAAATTCACTAGTGCAATAATACCAGTGGATTTGTGTTCTAAAACTAACACCTATCAATCAACTTAGTTCCCTCCTTGTTTTAGCACTACTTAGCTTCTAGGGGGTAACATGGAGAACTGGGCAGTCAGGTCTTCACCTTCAGGAAGTGACCTGGAAACAGGAGACAATGAGAACCATGTAGACTTAACAGTTTGATGGACATTACCTGGAATCCAAGCTGTCGAGATTGTCTTTTGCACAGGAAGCATCAGGGCACTGTGTTCGGATTCAGTGCAGAGAAGGCCTGAGGGTGTGTAACTCTAACAAGAGCCCAGGCGATGCCCACCCCAAGCTTGGTGTAGCAAGGAGCTAATCCTCACTGCAACTTCAACAGTTTGCAATTTTTTTATTTTTTTTATTTTGTCTGTTGTGGGGCTTGAACTCTAGGCCTAGGCACTGTCCCTGCAGTCTTCAGCTCAACTCAAGTGTTCTACCACTTGAGCCACAGCACCACTTCCAGTTTTCTGGTGATTAATTTGGAGGTAAGAGTCTGCCCAAACTGGCTTTGAACCGTGATCCTCAGATCTCAGCCACCTGAGTAGCTAGGATTACAGGCTTGAGCCACCAGCACCTGACTCAACAATTTACCATTTTACAGATATTTTACAGACGGGGTAGCTGATTCAACAAGGTAACCACTAGGACAAGGTAGTGAGAAAGAAACAGACAGACACTCAGGATCAATCTGTTGAGAAGGGGATATCTGGAGCATGGACCCACTTCTTGTGTGAGGAATATTCAAGATAGGAAAATAGAGTTCATTAAGAACTTAGATCTGTCAGGCACCAGCTCTGGAACTCAAATTTGTGTTAGCAGGTGACTACTTTCCACTCTTGGTCTCTCCTGCTATGAAATACAATTTCACTAGTACCTGGCCAGGAAGGTGGTTAGAAGTAATAGGTAGCTAGAACAGTTCCTGGCTCAGGCACGTGTCTAGAACATGATAGTTATCATTACTCTACAGTCTCCAGCCCACAGCAGGCAATGACACCTTTCCAGTTAAATTACTAAGTCATACTTGCCAATTTGACAGGTAAGTTAGTTATAACATTTTTACAAAAATATTTTACAATTTCAGTTTCATTCATCAGTGGAAAAAAAATTCCTCAGATCCTTAAGTGCCATTAACATCAGTCAATCCACAACACATCCTAAGCTTTAAAATGTCCATGATCCTATTAATTCTATGGTGTGATGTTGTGGAAAGTTTCTGATTAAACCATGAGGTTAGGAATAAACATCTAGTTACGTATGTTTGAAGACAAAAAGGAAAGGACTCATTAAATCCAGCCAAAACATACAAACACCAAAATAAACATTTCTTATGTCTTGGATCACTTTTGCTACCAAGCAATGATTTATTTCATCATCCTCTCTGAACTACAATAAAAAGTTAGTTTCTTTTTAGTTTCTTTTTAATCTATCAGCTTCTTTGCAAGGAGGTGAAAGATTAAGCATAATGAGCACAATATCTTGCTTGTGCCCAATATAATAGCTCTGCTAAATGACAATTTCTCAAGAAATCAGCATCCATGAGCAAAATTACTATGACTTAAGGTGTCCAAGTTTCAGCCAGCTCAAGGTTTCTTGAGACAGGAGAGTCCCTAGGAGATTTTAAAAGTTAACACCCACTAAGGTGGCCTCATTGGGGCTGGTTACAAGGTTTATTCTCCTGTATTTGTGAAAACTCATTCAACTGTACACATGCCCTGCACGCTTGAATCTGTGTGCAATCTACTCCAGTAAAAGGTTACTCCCCCAGGGACTTGAACCTGCACAGCCTCTGGGAACAATGTGAAATCACAGGGAGTATGGGACATTCTATGCTCATGTTTCTCCCCTCTTTCCATCACTCAGAGTGCCCTCCACACAAAGAATTCCTCCCCTTGCCAAGACAAGACTTAGTAGACCTGAGAGAAGTGTTCCCTGAGGCTAGCCTACTCCCTCACCATGACCTAATTCAAGCAGAATTGGCAACTATAAATCTCTACCTCTGAGTATGAACTGTACCAGGCCAGAAAATTCTGCAAGCTCTTACTCTGTCATATACCATGCACCTGCCCCAGGCCATAAAGTCCTTGGCACACAAAGGTGATGGGGCGAACTGTCCAAAGTAATGGGTTGGAAGCCCTAGGAAGTACAACTTCTGCCCACATACATGCAGCTTCCAGAAGATGGATGGAACAGCACTGAGGTCTCCAGTCACATAGACCTCCTCGGCTTCCTACCCCAAGCATCTAAACTAGGCTAACTGCTCTGTCTCAGTTTCTTCATCTCTAAAATAGGGGGAATAAAAGTCCCTATGTCATGGATGGGTCATCGAGTCATGTGGAAAATTAACCACTGTAAAGACAGTATGCACTTATAGATACGTAAATGTCCTGCATTCTGCTTAAGGAACTATGGTTAATAGAATCAGCCATTTGATTTGGTCTGGATGGGGGAAAAAGGCAAATAATTGAATGTATGGCAGGGTTCTTTGGACCAAAAATTCTGAGACTGCAGCTGCCTGACTCAAGAAGATAACCATATGACATGTGGCTCTTTGTCCACAGAACACCATAGAAGGTTCTGTGGTCTAGTTCACCGCCCAGCTGAGGCTTCCAGTTGGTGGTAAGCATGAGCAGGCAGTGCCAGAGCACCAGGAGTTCCTCCTACCATGCCAGGAACACTGGAGCAAGACTATGGGGCTCTTCCATGGAAACATAAAAACATACTTCAGCTCACAGTTTGAAAGGTCAACCAATGCATATAGCATTTGAAATTCAAGGAAACCAAGGTCACAAGGCCACAATTATGAGTCTTCTGTGGTTCCAACAAAAGATCACTGTAATAAGAGACCAAAATGAATGGAATAATCATTCCATGTAGATGAAACTCTGAAAACTTTTAACTGAATCCACTGATTAAGAAAATTTAAAGAATTTACAAAATAAATCTGATAAATCTATAATACATTATTCTGCCCCTCTGTCTCCTAACCTAGCATGTTTTTATGACTGTGGCCACCCTTAAGGGATACAGAAAGAATGAGCTGAAGTTACCCTTTCCTCACTCCTAAAAACTAAGGGTGATGGAGCTCTGCTGCTCTAATAGAAGGGGGCCATCACCACCAAAGTCCTCTGCTTCCTACACACCCTCTACTTCCAAAGCTGAGAGTCACGCAGAAATCTCAAGTTTTTCAAAAATCAATTTCGTTCTTGGAGTCAAGGGTGGTCACTTCCAAATATTTGCCAATGTTGACCCTCAAGGAATAAATTATCTCCAAACTTTGATACGAACCCAAAGGAGAAAAAATACAGAGCTGGGCATTCTTCAAGGTGCAGTCATTCTCTTCAAGTGGGAGGAAGCATTTGGCTGGGTAACTAAATGATTAGCTTTCAATGCCCAGCTCTTTACAACAATCACTTTGCAAGACGCCTGTCCTCCTTCAAAGGGGGGAGGGGCGGGGGAGCCTCTCTAACGGGTAGACTGAGCCGCTATTCTTCCCAGGGGACACTCATCTGGGGCTCCAGGCTGAGGCTTTGTGCGCGTCGCCCCCACCCTCCGCGCCCCCGCCCCTCCTCCCACAGAGGCTGCCTCTCCAAGGTTCCCAAGGCCACCTGCTTCTCAGAAGAAAAAGGCGATAGTGTGCGCGCAATCTCAAAGCGCGGTCGGCGTCCTCCGCGGTCTCCCCCTTCCCCCGCCCCCTGCGAGGGGAAGAAGGGGAGGTGTCCCCTGGGTAGCGCGCTTTGTCGGGAGGCCGCCCGCAGCGTCCCAGAAGGCCCCACAGAAGGTTTTATCCCGGGCTCCCCTCCGGGCTTTCCTTCAGGAACCAGAGTCCCACGATGCCCGGGGTTCCTTGCGCGCCCCAATCGGCGACCTCCCGGGGACGCTCACCGGCGTTGGAACCCCACCCCGCCCACCCGGCCGAGCTAACGGCTCAGCCATCCGGAACCTCCATCCCTTCCTCTGGCCGGCTCCGCACCTGCTCCGCCGCACCCGCCACCAGCTTTGCGTGGCAGCGTGGGGCTGTCCTTCCTTCCCGCCCAGGGGGGTCCCGCTCCAGCCCCGGGCCCCTCTGCCTCACCCGGAGGAGGATCTGCCCTTGGACGCCGGTCCCCCGAGGCTGCACCCCGCCAAGCCCTCTCGCTGCGCCCCCACCCGCGCGCGCTCCGCGGCCCGGCGCGGCCCCTCGGGTCGTACCTTGTGCGGCGCCCGCAGCAGCCGATGGACCCCGGCCAGCTGGGTGCCGAGCGCGAGGTCCTCGCGGAACGTGAACAGCGGCGGTCGGCTGGGCTCCGGGAAGTTGGTGCTATTGAAAGGATCCGTGTCGTCCAAGAACTGCACCCGACAAGCCAGCGTGGCCATGATGCATCCCTGCGCGGGGGGCGCGGGCCCCGGGGTCAGCGGGCCCGCCGGGTGGCTGGACGCAGGGGAGGCCGCAGCCGCCGCTCTCAGGCTCGCGGACTGGCAGGCTCCGGCGCGCCCGGCTGCAGCCCGGCGGGGCGGGGGCGGGGCCGGCGCGCCCCCTCCTTCCCCTCTGGCTTCGGCTCCGCCCCTTCTCTGTTACCCGGGCCCCGGGCCCCGCTGCCCCCGCCGCCCGGACCCGCTGTCCCCACCAGGAACCCGAGATCCCTTGCAGAGGCGATCGCCGCCGTGCGCAAACCCAAGCAGCTGCGGCGGGCGGGGAACGCCCGGTGGTCAGACCCAGCTCTGCACGTGCGCCCAGCAGCTCCGTCTCAGCTGCATCCTATGGATCTCAGACAGTGGATTGGGGAGCTGGGCAGGAGGGGGGGGGGGAGAATGAAGAGACCGGGCTGTCCTCCCGAGTCTTCCCCACCTGGGAGATATCTCAGGAGACGGTGTAGCTGGGTTCCTACAGCCCCGATTTGGGAAAGCCTTGGAGGCGAGGTGGCTACTACCTGCAGAAGCAACGTGACGAGGCGGCAGCCACCAGGATCTCAGACTTCAGGGAAGTTGCCCCGGGAGAAAGAAGCTAAAAGGGACAGAGAGCTCAGACGGCTTTTCTCGGAAAACGAGAGTAGGATACGCCGGGAATGAGAGGTAGTGGGCAGGCGAGACCCTGAGGATCTGGGACACCTCCCTCCCCCCCACCCCGCCCCAGTTCTGGCCCCAGAGGTGCCCGGTGGGTGCTTGGTTAAAACTCTCCATCGCCAGAGCCTCTCTGCCCAGCTAGACCTTCGGCGTCCGCGGAGAGGAGGGACGTACAAGACTGGGTTTTGGAACTGCGGAGGTGCTGGGGAGAACCGGGGATCCCCTAGCAGCAGAGAGACTTGGAAGGAAGCTTTGCCGCCTGCCAGCCTGCCTCCGCCAAGCTGGAGCCACCGGCCGGCCGCGCTCGCTTCGCTGCTCACCGGCGACCCCCTGCGTTTCCAAAGAGAAAACTCAACGGCTCTGCATTTCGCCGCACATTCCGCCTAGTCCCTCTTACATATACATCACTGGGGAATAGCCAGTTGCTCTTAACAGCTCCGTCCTTCTTCACTACCTTTCCATAAGGCATCGCTCCCTTTTCTCTGGTTTAAAGGGAAAAGAAAACCCTTATTCCATCTTTGTGATTTCATCTACATTTTTAACGTCTTCCTTTCTGGCTACACACACACACACACACACACACACACACACACACACATTTACAATGGGTTTTAATAATCCCATGACTGTCATCTTCCCTTCTGGAGAGCTTGGAGTGCGTTTTGCTGCTGGACTATGAATGGGCTTTCTAGACACGCCTCATACCAGTGTACCAGTGTACCAGCTCTTCGTGGCCAAAATATCAAACCCCAATCCTACTCCTTTCACACCATGTCCCTGCTTCCATTTTCATGGTCCACCTCCCTGAGACTCTCCTGCCCTAGTCCTTCCAGATATCTTATGTCTCCTACTTGTCCCAACTTGGATACCAAATCATCATCCCAGGGCCTCCTTTTTCAGCCTCCCTCAGCCCCACCTGTTCTTTAGATCCCGGCCTTGTTTCTGCCCTGTTTACCTGTCTGCTGATAGTGAGTCTACTCTAGGACTCATTCTTACTGCCCCCTCTCCCCCACACACAAAAAAAAAACCCTCAGCCTAGTTCAGCCCCTTCCCTCAGGCTGCTAGAAATTTCTGCTACTTTCCTCTGATCATTGATCCTAGCCAGCATGCACTGAGGCTTAGCCAGCATAAACCTTAGCAAGCATCTGCTCATCTCCACCCTCCATCTCTTCCGTCTTGGGAGATGACCAGTTCCAATTTTCCTCCTGCTCTACCTCCATCTATACACTAGGTCCCTAAGAGGGACCTAGGCTGCTTCCTCTTCTTCCTCCCTGGGATCCTTACCTTTAGAATGCCGGCTGGCTTCCTGATTTGTAGCCCATGCAGTTCCATGGAGCCTGCAACTGAAAGGGCCTCAATCTGGTTTAATACTTTGCTACTGATGTCTTAAAACTCTTAATATTTATTTTAGCATTTTACATTATTTTTACATTCTCATTGTGTTCTAGGCCCACAATTAGGTGACCAATCCTGGTGAGAATAAACACTCAAGTGTTTTCCACCTTAAAAGCTATGTTGGGACTGAGAATGTGGCTTAGTGGTAGAGTGTTTGCCTAGCATGCATGAGGCCCTGAGCCTGATTCCTTGGTACTATATAAACAAAAAATAAATAATTCAAAGAAAAATAACCATTGAAATTTTTTAATATTTTTTAAAAAGCTATATTGTTGGTGGCTCAGTGGTAGAGTACTTGCCTCATATGCATAAAGCCCTGGGTTCGATTCCTCAGCACCACATAAACAGAAAAAGCCAGAAGTGGTGCTGTGGCTCTAGTGGTAGAGTGCTAGCCTTGAGCTGAAGGACAGTGCCCAGGCCCAGAGTTCAGGCCCCATGACCAACAACAACAACAAAAGCTAAATTGTTGTGGAGTGGATCTCCTGCTTTAGTTCCTTCACCCCCTGGCTAGATTGTGGAAGAGGAAACGCTTCTCAGCATTCTCACCACCTTGATCCAGACAGGACCTACTCCATCCTCCTGAGATCAGCAATTCCAGCCTAATTGCCTCATCCAGGGGCAATTAGCTTTGCTTCCCACTTTTTGCAACAGCACCTGTCACTGTGGACCATTCCTTTCCCAGACTCTCCTCCCCTCCATCTAATTGCTCTATCCATTTTCAGTCCTCCTCTCTATCAGATATTTCTGGAATCTTCCTGGATTCTGAACTCCCCTTGGTCCCGCCAACATCTCTAGACGACTCTCGGCTTCAGTACTCTCCAATCCATGTGCACATGACCTGCAGCCCCCTGACTTCTAGGCTTCCAGGACATGTTCCCTGACTTCTAGGCTTATTTTTACTTGAACAACACAACATCCCCACTCTGTTGCCACCCCACATTAAATGACAACCTCCACCCACTTCTCCAGCCTGACTCCCTACAAAGCTGTAGTCTGCCGGGGGCCTCGCCTGCCTGACTGCTCATTCCAAGGCTTACCAAGCCGGTGAGGCATAGAGCATCACTGCTATGGCTACTGTTCTCTGTGCCTGGCTCTATGCCTCTCACAGAGAAGATACACAACTGACCAAGAAGACATTTCTTATGCTACTTTTCTGAGGGGTTTCCTTTCCCCAGCCTTACACCCTGCATGTGGTCTTTCCAGAGCCACTCATCATTCTAAAATGTGCATTTGATGGGTTACTCTTTAGAGTAAAATCCTTATATGACAAGCTTCTCTAAATCTAACACTCCGGGGATTCTCCCACTTTACACCCTGTTTGTAAGCCGCACTGAAAGCATTGCCCTTTTCCAAATAAGCTGAACAAGTTTCTCAATCTAGAATGCTCTAGAGCCTAACCCATGTATCCTTCAACATTCATTTCTAACACCAGGGCCAGGCCTCTGGAGAGCTGTCTCCAGCTCCACACCAAACAAGACTAATCCCACTTTGCTCTGTAGTCCCAAGTAGTTTACATGTGTCTATTGTCAATACTGGCTTATCATATCCCCACCACCACCACTAACCCATAACACATGCGAGATTGGAAATTATCTTATTGGCACCAAAGATGAAAGCCTTTAATGTTTCATCATGTAAGCTCTTTCATTTTTTAAGGTTCTTTTTTCCCCTCTGTGGGCCACTCCCTTGAAATCACTATTAGTAGGCTTTTTTTTCCCCCTCTGTGGACAACTCCCTTGAAATCACTATTAGTAAATCTCCAGCCTACCCCTAGTTAATAGTCAACTACTAGCCGGGCGCTGGTGGCTCACGCCTGTAATCCTAGCTACTCAGGAGGCTGAGATCTGAGGATCGCGGTTCAAAGCCAGCCCGGGCAGGAGAGACCGTGAGACTCCTATCTCCAATAAACCACCAGAAAACCAGAAGTGGCGCTGTAGCTCAAGTGGTAGAGCACTCGCCTTGAGCTGAAGAGCTGAAGGACAGCACCCAGGCCCAGAGTTCAAGAACTACTTTTTAAGGAATTTCTTTTTTGGGAATGTTATGTTTTGTCTTAGCTTTAAATGTCAAGTGATAAAAAGTTATAGCAAAAAATATTCAGATAAAAGAAAAAATTATACAAGAAAGGGAATGTAAGCACATGGCTCAAATAAGTGCTAGCCATAAGTAAAAAATCTGAACGAAAGCATAAGGCCCTAAGTTCAAAACCAGCACCAAAATAATTAATAACAATAATCATAATAAAGTAGAGTCTATTTCCTATTCCTTGAACAGAGGTAACTTTGTGACTTGCTCTGTCCAAAAGAATATGGTATTGAGGGGCTGGGAAGGTAGCTCAGTGGTAGAGTAGCTTGTCTTGTATGCATGAGGCCCTGGGTTCGATTCCTCAGCACCACATAAGCAAAAAAAAAAAAAAAGCTGGAAGTGGCACTGTGGCTCGAGTGGTAGAGCGCTAGCACTGAGACCCAGAGTTCAGGCCCCACAACCAGACCCAAAAAATAAACGAAAACAAAAAAAAAGAATATGGTATTGGACCATGAATGGCTCATACCTGTAAGCTATTCAGGAGGCTAAGATCTGAGGATCACAGTTCAATGCCAGCCTAGGCAAGAAAGTCTGTAAGACTCTTATCACCAATTAACCACCAAAAAGCTGGCAGTAGAGCTGTAGCTCAATTGCTAGAGTACTAACCTTGAGCAAAAAAGATAAGGGACATTGCTCAGGCCCTGAATTCAAGCCCCAGGATCAGCCCAAAAAGAGGAGGAGGAGGAGGAGGAGGGTGAAGGAAGGTGAAGGAGGGAGAAGATAGTGGAAGTGATGTTGTGTAACTTTTGAAACTGGGCCTTGAGAGGCTTTACAGCATCTTTTCTTGACCTTTTGAAACACTGTCTGAGACTACCAAGCCAAGAAGTCAGGTCTAGTCTAGTAAATTGCTGCTGATGACAGGAAACATGGTTACTGTGTTATGTAGCCATGACACCATTGGTAAGATAATTGCCTACAATGATTTGGAAGAGAGATGTGTCTCGTGAACTTTCTCAA